CAGCCGTGAAAGATAACACAAACTTGTCATGAGTGGCGCCATCAATAATTACTTAATGCTCTTTGACATTTTCAAATGTTCGCTTTATTCACTGCAAACACACCTCAATCTAATAATCCTAATGTTAACTCAAACTATAACATCATTTCAAACAAATATCAGGAATAGGGGCAACACACCGCCTTATTCTTTCAGCATCACAGTCCCCAAGAGCATTGCCTTCATTGGGGTACCCACCCCGGGTAGAGGTGGAGAGAGCAGGAGGTGATGTCTCCTTGGTTCCTAGCTCTCTGAAAAGTCCCTGTCTCTACCCAAGTTTATGTTGGCACTTTAGCTGGCTCCTTGATGTCCTTCTGAAAATTCCGAGTCTTATCGGGGTGCCCCAGATTTGTGGACCATCTGTTGGACCAATCTTCAGACCATCTGCTGGCACTTGGCATTGGCTCAACATTTAAGCTGGGCCTACATATTATACTTTCTTTCTTTTCCAAAACGGACTTTCTTGTGTTTACATCTTGTAAGGTAGTTCAACATCTTGCAAGGAAGTTCTACAATGTTCTCATCAAAAATCTGGAGTGAAACTAGAAATTTTAGGCAGGATGGTCTAGGACGGTGTACACGAAAAGAGAATGCTGGGGTTAAGGTTCAAGAAGGGGAGCGGGTGACCCATGGGGACCTCTGCAGAAGCACATTCATGGAACAGCCAAGGGAACAGCCAACACCAAGGACCTAGTTATACATAGTTTTCCTTTAATCCCAGTCTCTGACCCTTTAAAGATCCCCACTCAAATCCTGGGGGTGATTGTGGAGTCCTTTTGGAATGGTGTACCTTTGCGAGGTTTCTCGAGTGGGTCGTACCTTGGTTCTCGGCTTTGCATGAGAAAGAGTTCACGCAGAAGCCTGGTGCCGTCCAAGTGAGTTATTAGGAAGGACGGGAGAAGTCTCAGGTGCTACAGTCTCAAAATGGTACATGCTCTTTCAGGGAAGCGTGCCGAGCCGCACCTAAGTCACAATAGGGCTCATAACCCAGCGCAGGCAACCTCGTGGGACTGCGTGCCCACACATGGTGAACCGAGGCCAGAGAGACCGGGGCACGGCCTGAGGGGGTGCAGGAGCAGGGTCAAAAGAGTTTGCCTTCCCGCTGCCAGAGCATTTTAAACCTCTGGCTGGGGAGACGTGGTGGAAGGTATTGCTTGACCCCATGGGCTGAATTAAGCCCACCTGGAGGGGGTTCATGAGCCTGGGCCTAGTTTGGGTGGCTCAGGTGTAACACCCACCTGGCCTGGGGCCTGAATTTGAGCATGCCAAGTTAAGTCTTCATGGGTGGCTAGTGTTTGCCTGATTCCTTCCCAACCCCCTCAATGGGGCCTGTACAGGCCTGGGAGGGACAAGCCCCTCTATCCCTATCCTGGCTCCCTAATACCTTGATGCCAAAAAGGCCAAACATTTGTCTGCAAGGCTAGAGCCTGCCAACAGTTCCCTTTAGTGTTTCTTCCTCTCGTGTGCTCTTTCCACTTTCAGAATAAGCAAGTTTTCACCACAAACCCGTCCCTGAATGACAGGTTCCCTAGCCTGACTTCCTTCCTCCTTTGCATCTTGGGTCTATAAAGTCTCTCTTCCTTGGAAGCGCTCCAAAGTCTACGAATATTTTACATGTTTTCTCATTTTCTATGGTGGCGGGGAGGTTAGTCGAATACAATCCAGTCAACGAAGCCAAACTTCATTATCATTACTTTTGAATGTACCTCCCAGACATGCATTCATTGAAATGTTTGTGTGCCCCCCCTCGCTTCTCAAAAGCAAGAGTTTTCTAACTGGTCTGTCCACTCTCAGGGGAAACTGAGGCGCATGAGGAATGAACTCCAGACTCATAGTGTACTGGTTCCCTGGTCTCTAACACCCCCCCCCCCCATCCCTGTAATTACCGAGGCTCAGGAGGATGGTGGCTGTAGAAGACATCTTACAGCCCCAGGAACCAGCCTTGTCCTGGCGCTGATGGTGAACAGACAAGGCACAGTGAACAGGATGTACTGGCTTGGGCCCTGACTAGGTATTTCTACATCAACTGCTTCTCACACTGGGAAGGCTTCCCCTATCCGGTTATCTCTACTCTTCTCTGAAAGACAAAGGGGTAGGAGTTTGGGGGTGATGTGGCTGATGTAAACTCTTTCATAGTCACATGATTTACATGAGGATAAAATTAGCTCTAGATCAAATGCAATGCAAGTTAAGTTTCTTCTAAATCGAGGGGGCCAGGCAGAACACAGATTATGAAACTGAACTGATTTCAACATCAGTGAGATAGTTAAGGTTTATTGTGCCAACCTGGCCTATAAACACATGTGGGATTAATTGAAGGGCAGAGAGATAAATGGCTCAGTGAGCCTCTCCTTTCTAGTTCTCGGGTCTCTTGCTTTCTGATG